TTTTCTCTTATCACCTGTCTGGTTGTCATTGCGTAGATATCAGGGGGAGAAAATAGGTTTTGATCTATCTTAGGAAGGAGTAAACGACCATAGTTCCAAATACTTTCTGGAAAAATTTTGATAGAACAACAAATAATTTGTTTCTTGGAACGAAGTTACTTGTTTTCAAAACAAATTTAAGGAAAAATGTTTAATATTTCGTTAGAACTTGTCAAACAAATTTAGTGCAGTGTTTGACTTAACCAAACAGTTCAAAAGGAGATCTGCAAACCTTTGATCTGAAATGCTTTAAATTTAGGAAATCTAACCACCACATCATCAAAAACATAGATACAATTCACTCTCCGGTAATCGTTTTTCACTTTATGCAACGCATCTTAATTGTTTAATCTATAGAAGAAACTTAATCTGTGAATCGCCAGGTTGATCAACTTCTAGATTCTTCTTTACATATCGATAAATTGTTAAGAAAAAAGGTGACAAGAATAAAGAAATTCGTCACTGATGTCTATCCGCCACAAAAATCTGATCTGAAAATTTAAATCAAACAAATGTACGTCAGGAGAAAAACCCGATTAAAATTTCCATTTTCAGAGTATGAGTTGCTTTGTTTTCCACCTTAAACGACGACAAAATACCTGACTTTTGTCAATTATGTTATTGTTACTAACCTTTCGAATTTTGACCTCGTTTTCTGAGAAAGGCTACCGTCGTGTTAATGTCTGAAATACCAGGTCTTAGCTCATTCGTTTGACACAAGGCAGGACTTCGACACGTGATCACAAAGCACTGCGAGCTGCGCATGTACGCAACGTCACCACCCACGTGATCACAACTTAGCTCAATACAAGTACGCATGTCCGGTACAGGCCCCAGTGCAGTTTCTTGTCCGACTGGAGGAGAAACATCTCGCAATATTTCGCTGTCTCTGCAAGACACTGCGTCGTCCGTAGTGTGTTGCGAATCAAAATGAGGAACATTGCCAGTTACAAAGGTACTAGAACTTTCAAAGACTGAAGTAGACGCTTTGGAATAGAAGATTAGGGAAGAGGCTAATCTAGGTTGCGGTTGCCTCGAGTGAGCCGTTGCTTTACTTTGCGAGGAAGGTGCAAGTTTTTCTGAGTTGATCAAAACGACGCTGGTTTTGTTTTCAGCAAGAGTTTGCTTCTTCAATACGTGCTGTGTGCTCGACAATGCAACTGTCGTGGCAGGGCTTGCGCTAACTTTCATACTTCTTGGACCCTTTAAATCGTCTCTTATCTGTGATTGTCTTGGAACTGGGGGCTTTAGTGTTTCAACTTGTTTGGCCTTTTCCTGTCCTATCTTGGGAACATTCTGTGAAATCGCCTGTGCTGTTTTGCTCGCTGTTGGTGAGGCTTCTCCCTTATTAGCATGCCGCGACACAGACTGCGTAGTTTTCCTGTGCTCGACTCTTAGAGGACTACGTGACACAGCCACAGTAGTGTTTTCCTTAGTGTCCTTACCATGAAATTGCGGCGGTGCAGAAGTCGTTTTATTGTGTCTAACTTTTAAGTGATCGCGTGACATAGCCGGTGTTGTCTTTCCTGTCACGCCATGCGTAGGGTTGTGTTTCGGCGCTGATTTCATTTCACTCCCTCCACCTTTGAGCTTACTGCGTGACACTGTCGGTATTTCTCTGTTCCTGGGTGGCTTGCGTGACAATGTGTGTGCCGTTTGTTGGTTTCCAGTCGTATAAGTTTTAATAGGCCTTGCATCTGCTTCCACTTCAAACATTACTTCTGTGGGTTGATCAACCTTCAGTGAAGACGCTATAAGAAATTAACGGCAATAAGATACTGTTAATTCTCAAAGCTATAACATGACAAAATTGGAATACGTGCGAATTTTATTGAATTTCATTTTGTTAAGGGACGGACCATAATTTTTTAGAAGGGGGTGATGGGCGGGGGTCTAAGGGTTGGGCAAATTTCTGGAGCATGGAATTTTTTCTTACTTTAGGTTGTGCACGAGTTTTTGTTTTGGTGAGCAATAGCTTGTGCAAGAATTTTTTAACATCAAAATACAGGACCTGGATGTTAGAAAGCACTTGCTCGATTTTTTTTTCCCGTGGCTCCCCTTGCATGATTTTTTTTCCAGCAGTCCTTGATATGCAGAAATTTTTTCTTAGAAATTGCCCAACCCCACCCTAAAAAAAAATGGTCCATACCAAAGGTCACTTTTTAGAGAGCCCTGGGACCAATATTTGCTCTCCGTCTCGAAGTCAGATACGACTGAAGTAACAAGTCAAAGAAACCCTAAAAGACATTGCAGTTTCGAGAGAACTTTTGAGACAATTCTGGAATGAATGCCCGGAAAAGCAGTAAGTTATCTGAATGCTTTCAAAGAAACGCGTCTTAATCAACCAATTATGTATTCCGAACGTTGGGGAAGGGGGAGTTTCTGTCCTTGCGAACCAGAAACGTTTTCATTGTATCAACCTCAAACCAACTAGAAGACTATTCACCACGGTTATCAATGAGCTCTACTCGCCATTTTGGAGAAAAGAGAACACTCAGATCGAGGAAAATAGACATCCGGAATCTGTGCTGAGCTTAGTGGTGACTTACCGCTGAATGGAATACTGTGAGCACTATGGATCCATGTTAGAATATTGATATATCGAAAGTGGCCTATTAATCCGTCTAAATCTTTCGCATCATACCCAGTCTAGTTCATTTTCTATTTTTTTTTATTGCAAATTCTACCTTACTTAACTATTACTTTAAGGTTTCCTTCAATTCACAAGTAATCAGAAAAATGCTCTAAAATATAAATAACATGCTCTCTTGAACTCGATCTACATTGTAGTTACTTCCCTCCAGGTGTCAGTCACTGAAGCAGAAATTATTGTTAATAATTCAGTTCTCTTAGGGTAGTGTGGTCAAAAACGCGTGGCTCTTGAAAAAAGAGACAAAGTTTTACAATATATTGAATGAAGTACATAAACGGACACAATATTTGCTTCTTTAAGATAAAATGCAGTAAACTAACTGTGCACTTTGCTTGCACATCCCCGTGTAAAGAAAATATGTTTTCAATGTTCTTAGGTTCGCCTCCTTATTTATTCAAGCATTTATTTAGGTTGGCTAGGGTTTAAAAGTCAAGCGCATGAATAGTCGATACTTTTGGCAACACTGATACTCCATAGCTACATGGTTTACTGGAGCGATGCTACCCTGAGGAAATTTCACGGTTTTGTTCACAGAGTATCGCGAACTGTACTGGGCGATAACAAAAGGGTAATTCAACCGATAATAAAGCCAAATAAATTCCTGTTTCTGGCAACGTGAAACCCGGGTTGATGTGAATATCGAGACATTAAAATTCAGGGCAACACACAAAGAAAGCCGAAACGGGTTTTAAACCTGTATGCAGTCGCTACACAACGAAGCAGCCAATACAAGGAAGGTTTTTCATTAACCAGGGCTTTGTTGCTTTCTATTTAATCCCAAACTATTTTACTGTATCTCTGGCTCACCAAAACAGATTTATTTTAGGTTACCGTATACCTTTAGAGGTGTCTTGCGTCCAAGTAATGTAGCCCGTCCGGTTTAAACTGTAGATATCCAAACCCCCGTATCAAATTAAAGCTTATAGAACTGGCTATCAAACTATATTTTCAAAGAATATTGAAACAAAATGAATTGTCGAATTTTTCATGACTTTTAAATGCGAGCGTCCAAATCACATTTTGAAAGCTTCAAGTTAAAGCGAAGTTCGTTTTTCGTTAATTTAATTTGTTCCTTAGTTTCCAGACCCAAAGCGCTAAAAAAGGGTTTGCGTTTTGCCATATTCAATTGCAGTAAAAAGTTACAGAACATTTTCGAAATTGGATTTAAAAAATGTGCAATGATCGTACAAAAATCGCTCTTGGAGAAAAAATATTTCGAAATAAACAATTTGCTGACACGATTTTGCTGTTTATATGTTAACCTAGCTACTGTTCAAACTTAAGGGAAAATTAACGAACAAAGCCCTTTGACTTGAAGCTTTCAAAAGGTGTTTGGGAAGCTCCCATTTAGAGGTCGTGAAATACTCCACAATTCATTTTATTTCAAACTTCTTGGTATAGCTTGATAGCCAGCTTTATAAGCTTTAATTTGATGTGGAGTTTACCTATCGTTAGTTTAAATCGGACGCACTACATCGCTTGGACGCGAGACACCTCTGAAGGTATACGGTAACCTTAAAAGGAGAAAAAGTCTCTTCTTTCTCGACCTTCCCCAAGGCAATCGATGACATCTCCACAAATTAATCAGCAAAATCGGTAAAAATATATTTAACATAACAAATAAAAACGCTATTAAAGGGGAGAAAATCATGAAATGTCAAATTTTCCCCCCGCGTTCATTCCAGCAGGTTTAGATCATAACTGTTCTTATCACCGCGTCATACAAGCCAGATACAGAGAAAAAAATGTGTGAAAAATGGCCGATTATTAAAGATAAAAGTAAAAATATAATGCCAAAAACAGATCTGAGTACCGACAGGAATCAACAGTGTATTTAATTAAATACCGGCTGCTTAGCTAAAGACCTATTTGTTGAAATTATGCTTGGTTAAACCCGTTACAATCGAACCACTGCTAAGCTGTTCAAGGTTTACGCACTGCGTGTTGCATCGTTACTGGTGATAGATCAATTAGGTATAGTAAAACAAATCAAAGATATACAAGGTTAATTCAAATGCTACCTTGCTGCGCACTTTCCGCTGGAGTTAGTGTGGACGTTGTGTGAAGGTAGCCTGTGGTGGGAACAAGACTTCGTTGTCTTCGATACAAGGGAGGACTTCCAGTGCATGGCTCGCCGTAGCACTTGCGTTGCGACACGAAAGCATGCTTGCACCATGTTAAACTACAACAGCGTGAGATACAGCTATGGAGATTTGTTGAGGAGCTAAGAAAACGTGCGTTACCAACAACCGCCCGTTCATGTCTGTACCCTCCAGATATTAGAGCATAAGTTATCTTTTTCTCGCTTCCTTGACAGATGAAAGTTGATTTGGAGAAGTCAAAACTTGCGAGGGTACCTGTGACAGAATAAAAAAAAA